GAAAAAAAAATGTGGTGCTGCAGTTTGTTTAGTATGGTTGTCCTTGGTTTACTGTCTTCATATGTCCCTTCATGCGCGTAATAGTGTCAAAAAAAAAAAAAGACCCCCAAGGAGTTTTTGTAAGTTAAAAATGTCAACAATAAAAAAAAAAAAAAAAAAAAAAAAAAAAAAAAAAAAAAAAAAAACCTGAGGTCAGACATTTTTTTTTATGCAATGATGACAAAGAGATGAAGATGCTCTGTTTCCCAGAAGTCCCAAGTCAGTTGTATCGGCTTAGCAACAGAACGTGGGGTTGCCCTTTCTAACTTTGGGTCTGCGGCGCTGCTTCGTTACCGGCCGCAGCCAAAAAAAAAAAAAAATTTGTAAGGAAAAAAAAAAAATTTTTAAGGGAAAAAAAAATGTGGTGCTGCAGTTTGTTTAGTATGGTTGTCCTTGGTTTACTGTCTTCATATGTCCCTTCATGCGCGTAATAGTGTCAAAAAAAAAAAAAAATTGGTGAATGCATCAATTTCGTATGAGCACCACATTAAACCAAAACACGTAAGAAAAACAAAACAAAAAAATAAAATAAAATTGCTACATTGTTTGCAACTTGCATGTCTGGCAGCAACATCCCCAACCGGGGAGAGCACGTCGCCAGGTGGTGTATAGATGCCATTTGTCATGCCAGGCTCAAGGTTTTCCATGAAGTGGTGGAAAAGGAAAACACGATGGAAACACCTTTATTATGAGTGACAAATTCATCTATTTATCTCTATACTACTGTTCTATTTTTTTTTTGTGGGTTTTTTTTTTTTTGGGAGGGAGGGCAGGGAGGCGGAGCTCTGCCGATACCGTGGCAAGCCGACCCCGTGGCGGCGTTCTCCGTTTTGTGCTTCTCCGTCAGTGGTGGCGGTTCAGCTAAAGAGCTCCAGCTCCTCCTCCATGTTCACCTCAGGCACCATTTGCTCCTGCTCCCTCTCCCCTCTGCCGTGCGTCAGGAAGCCCCCCAGCACTCCGGAGGAGGCGAACCACGGGTGCTCCAGGATCTCTCGGGAGGTGAGGCGCTCCGCCGGCTCCCGGCGCAGTATGGAGCGGATGAGGCACTTGGCCTTCGGCGTCAGCGTCTCGGGAATGTTGAAGTGGCCCCGGCGGATTTTGCTGAACAGCGAGCCCGGCTCGACGTCGTGGAAAGGGTAGCGCCCCACGAGGATGGTGTAGAGCATGACGCCCAGGCTCCAGACGTCGGCCGCCTTGCCCGAGTAGCTGCCGTTGGCGTTGAGGATCTCCGGGCTGACGTAGGCCGGGCAGCCGTGTTTGTCTGACAGCGAATCGTCAAGACCAGCAAGGATATAAGAGTCCTCGAGGCTCTCCAGTTTAACAAGGTTTCTGGAACCAAAGGAGAGGCAAGAAACACACACAATGAGTCTTCGACTTATAAGGGATCAGCAGCTAGAAGGCTAGAAAATAAGCTAAGACACTTTCACACAAAAAAGTATCAATTAGTTTTATATCACAGCAACTGAATTAAAAATAAAAGTTAAAAAAGTGGAAACCAAGCAAGGGATTAAAAAAATAAATAAAAGTCTGCAAAAACATTTAACCAGAGCATAATAATATTAATAATCCCATTATTATGCTACACAGCACAGCTTTCAAATATGGATATTTGCGCTGTTTCCCTGAGCCAGACACCCATTCCTCCTCGGTGATATTTAGAAGCATGCTTAATTGAATTGCTCCTTGCTCATTTTGGGAACAGGAATAATTATTACAGTGCTTTCAAAAGGCTTAAATGCACAATAAGAGAGATTAAAACCACATTATTCATTGGAACATATTCGAGCTTAATCGCACGTGGAGCCCGGAGCGAGGCAGCGCTGCCCGTCACCCAACCTGTGGTTTCAGACGGCACGCCGTTCTGCGGCGCGTCTCACTTGCCTCCGACAAAAACTGTTTTTGTGGGCAACATTCTTAGTCAGGGTTTGTATGGAAATTAAGTCTCATGGTGGCAGGCTCTACTCAAACTTACATCATCTTACAACTTGTGTTTAGGCCCATCGCAATAAATCAATTAATTGCATGACAAATTAAAACAAACTTAATATTTTCCATTTGTGAGATTGATCGTGATTGCTTTTCTCTCTACCTACCAAAGCAGTCGGGTGCTTTGGTCTCAACTAGCCCCCCTTTATTTCTTTGGAAGGATCATTTTGTTTACACAGACGTCACAATTGATTTTATTTATTGTTTTATGTATTTAAAACATCTTCCATTACTGATTTCAAATGTTCATCATTGAAAATGCATTCTTGCATTATTGTGCCGTTACCATTATACTACTCAAATGGATTCAAAACAACAATATCATCGTTTATTGCAATAACTTCAGGGACAATTTATTGCTCAGTAAGGTTTGATAGTGTGTCATAGCTACTTGTGTTTACTGTGTGGAGCGCAGAAAAATGAAAGAGTAGAATAATCTGCCCAACAATCCTATACTACAATTAATTTCCGATATTTTTTAAAGTATCGTTTACACACATATATATATATATACACACACACATCTATCTCAGAGAGATGGCTTGTAAAAACCACTTGCCACCAACCTCTTTAAATGGGATGCATGCCTCCGTCCTGGACCACCGGAGGTCACTGGACCTGCACTAAGTATGTGAAGCAGCTCAACTTCTAGTTTCCACAGTACGTGCCAAATAAATGACACCCCACACTCAGACGGCAACAAGCAGAGCTGCTAAAAAGCAATAACCTAAAAGCCGAGGAAGTGCGAAGCATCAACTTGGGAGTTGTCGTTTGTACTTCCATTTATTAGAAAAAACATGAAAAGATTAAAGTAAGTCTTGCTCTGGGGTTGCAGTAGCAACAGATGCCACATTTTGCAGTTAGTGACTGCTGCCAGCAGGTGTCAGGCTCTGTACTCCAAGTGTGAGTGTCAGGTTCAGCTCATCGCTACAGTAGTGATTCGATTGATCTGCCATCCAAAATGCTCGTCCCGGCAGCTTATCGGACCGTGCTGTTCCATCCAGCGCTGGTGCTGGCCTTCCAGTTTGGCTAATGATTGCCCGCTCACTCACTCGCTTGCATGCATTTCATCTATTTATACACAGTGCGTGAGACACTTCCACCAATAAAAACCACACACTCAGAAAGAACTGGGGCAGATGTGTTCAGGAGAACCATGCCACTCTTGTTCTGACTCAGCTTTCACCAACCGCTGTTTGAGCCAAGATGTGACATAACAACACTGTATTCTCAGCATGTGAAGCAGACAGAGAGCGAGAAGTCGCTGCGCTTACATGGCCGAGGTCTGCCGAGGCTTACCTGTCCTCGTTCTTGAAGACGAACTTCCTCAGTTTGAGGTCACGGAGGACCAGTCCGTTGTCATGGCAATGTGCCACGGCCGAGGCTATCTGATAGAAGAGCCGGGCGGCCTCGTCTTCCCGCAGCTTCTTGCAGGTGCGGACGAAGGAGTGCATGTCGCCGTGGCTCCTGTCGAAGAACACGTAGGCTCGCGTTTCGCCGAGCAAAATCTCCAAGATCTGGTTGATGTGCTCATGCTGGCCCAGGGCGAAGTAGGCCGCCAGCGACTCCTGGTACCGGCCGATGTCGAAAACCTGCAAACGCGACAGGAAAGTTTGTTTTTGTCAGAAGAGATTCGTTCTAACTTTTAAAAAAAAACAGCAAAAAGGGGAAGGGGGATCTGACTTGCTTCGTTTTCTTTTTGCTAAAAGTAAGGGCTGAACAAAGCATCACAATAGTGCACAGTATTATCCTGCAGCCTGAGGTTGCAGTGTCTTGTTTGTTTCCATAGCAACCCCCAATTGACTTTCAGCACAACCAGTTCAGGTGAGAAGGCTGCTCTGCTCGCAACTCAATACAAAACGCACCCCGCGGGTCTTACGACGGTACCCGGCCTTCGAGTTCGACAAAAAAAACAAAAAAAAAACAAAATAAAACAAAAACCCGATCAATCCTGGAAGTGAGGGGGGGGGGGATTGATTGCTGCCGTATCGATGTCGGCACCAAGCAGAGCAGGACAAACAGCTGTTACCTCATAACCAGTGCCAAAGGTCACTCATTTCTCATGGCAGAGAAAACATTATCACAAGTCAGAAGGGGCAGGTTGCTGTATGCGTCATGCTTTATGGGTCCAAGGGTGGACGTCGCCATTGTTTCTATTAATCATCCCAGACGAGGACGGCTCAGGAGATAAATGCTGCAAAGGGACAAGAGCTGCTGTAATATGTAATCAGTAATATGCAACAGTCGATATGTGCCGTAAATGAGCTGAGGAACTGTGTAATTTTATAGTCACTCAGGGGGGAGAAAGAGAGAGGGGGGTCACCGGATGGAGGAAACAGGCGTCAGGGAACGAAAAGTTCATTAAACCTGCAAAAAGAGATGCAGAGATCAGGAAAACTTGTCCGGCTCCATTTTTTGTGTGTCGATTGATTGGTGCATCTCTGCCTTCAAGGGTGGTATATTCCTCCAAACTCATCAGCTCATTAAACATTCAGTTCCCCTGAGAATTTTGTGCAGCACATGGCAACAACTCGCATGCCAAACATCCATTCAGAGGTATACTGATTACAGCATTGTGCTGTGAAAGGGAGAAGCCACGGGTAAGCCAGAATGGCACTAACAGGAGTGTGTGTGTGTGTATGTGAGTGTACGTGGTTACTCACTCCTTTGTCAACGTTACATCATGCAATCCAAACCACACAGCTCACTCCATTCACTTTTTCCACCAGGCTGGGCTGCCAGCTCTCTATTTAAAACGAAAACAATAATTAAAAAAAAAAAAAAAAAAAAAGTTGAGGTGGCAGGTTTTGATGCAACATGCATCCTGCAACAATACCCCCCACACACACACACACACACAAATCAGCATTTTTTTTTTGGTGCTCGATAATCTCAGCACCGGAAGCAATTGCAGACGACTTTTTGAATGAAGTGCGTAGAAAAAAAAAAATGTAGGTCGATTTTTTTTTTTTTTTTTTGGGAGGGGTGGGGGGGGGTGTACGTGAAGATCTGTGCTGCTCACCTTACATATGAGCTCGTCGCCGCTGTGCAGGTGGGCGGCTCTGAAAACGTGGTCTCCCTCCAGCGGCTCCAACAAAAGGTAGTCCCCGATGCGGGAGATGCAGTGCGAGGAGTCCGGGGTCTCCGGCGGGCTGGGGGAACCGAGGTTCGGGCTGAAACTCTGGTTCGACTCTGTAGTCCTTAGGCAAGACAATTCTTCAAAATCGTGCGATTTGTGTCGCGATCTCCCATAACGTGAAATGCTGATTGGATTTGACCTCTGTATGTTCATGAGGAATAAGTGCGAAATCTCCACACACGCACACAAAAAATTTATGAAGTTTTCTCCTTGTTCTCCTCTTCCTCGGCTAGGGCACCTCTAGCTCGCACGATACTTTAAAATATGTCACGTATATACGTATGGATAATAAAAAAATAATAATAATCCAAAAATAATGTGGATTTAAAGTACCGTGCTTTGGTTTTGTGTCAACAGGCGAGAAACTATACTCAAAAAGGGTTTAATTTGTCCACAGCTCATCTGCTCCCCTTTGTTATACATTCATGGAATGAAGTCCGTGTTAAATACCTGACTGTAAGGCCAAAGCTCTCTGAAAGCCGTCAACAACGAGGTGCAGTTTCATTAACGTGGATGCAAGACAAAAAGCTGCAACAAAGGCTACCAAAAGTTAGCTTTTAAAAATGAATGAAGGCTGCTAAGTCAACGGTCCGCTAGCTTATCTCGCCGGTGAAATGCTGAGACGTTTCGTAAAACGGAAACAATATATTTTTACGCGGCTTGCAGTCGCATTTAAGGAATGCACAAGCCAAACAAATTAAGCAAGTTTCTGAGCTAATAATAGCTGCTGAAATTCGTCAGGGTTTTGCTAGCAGGTGCAGAGCTAACTAGTTAGCTTGATGGGCTAACGAGTACCAGGTCAGTGCACGGCCTTGTTCCCCGGGATCACATCCATGCACGGTGATTGTCATAAGGAGAGAGCCCCATCCGGAGAGACTGCTGAAGCTCTTTGTGTTGCTTGGTTCGGCGCTCTCTATCCTCCGCTTGAACTTATCCAGTAGAAGAAATGTGCCGCCTGTCGCCTGTGAATGCCGCTGCAAAGCTTGTGGAAGGAAGGAAGGGACGGCCGACTTTCCCAGGCCAATCCCTTGATTCAGCAGGACATCCTCTCTCCCGTGGTACTGCTGTGCTTCTTACGTGGCCGGGAATCTAGTTCATTCAGTGCAGAGCGAAGCTGCACACACTGCGCCTGTACACACAGAGAAAGAGAGAGAGAGCTGCGTTCCTGCCCAGCGCGAAGGAGGGGGGGGAAGGTTTGTGTATATGTGAGTGCACGCGCGCGTACACTCACATATACACAAGCTAGTTAACCCGCCTCCAACGTCACGCTCACAACGAAATCCTATTGGGTTTCAGCCTGCAGTGAGGTCATGTGAGAGCCGTGTACCGTGGCCACACCCCCAGGAATCTAAATGCAGCGTTGGTGGAACAGAGTATAGCTACTGTACATGCTGCGTTACAAATGTGTTTCCCCTGAAATGTCACTCAAGCAGAAGTGGGGAGGGAAACCTCCCCTTCCTCAGAACAGCACCACACACACCATGGCTTTGTACTTTTACCAGAGAAAAATAAAGAATATTTATCCAGTTGTATGTAATTCATAGAAGAAAAAAATATATATTGTGAAGTGAAATTGGATGTCAGTTTCTCATGATCCAAATGATTCCTATAATCCAGCTGGATAAGTATTCTTACATGTCAAAAGTATCCCACAGAGCAAAACATTAAAACACATGGAAATATAATTTTTAACTGTATTTTAAATATAGGATTATTTTTTTTAAAAATGGATACATATTTTATTGGCTGCTTTATCAATGACATTTCAGCAAACAATGAACAGGGGTAAATAATTCAATAAATATGATATTTTTTATGTATTTACATAGAACTAATTAATTGCATACAGACTATATCTATTTTAAGTGTTTTTGTTTTTTTCTTTTTGTTTTAGTTTGAGAAACTACAACAGACGGCAAAATCCATCTGGTGCCTGTATGGTGCTTACAGATGGATGGATGTTTCCCCAAACATGATGCTGACCCTTTGTTTATCCTCAAAATAAAAATCCTTGATCTGTAATGCAGCCATGCTGTGGACTGAAAGATCACTCACAAACATAATTTTTCCTAAGACAGCATTAAACATCTGGCAAAGAACAGAATATTGGAGGTTTATGATTCCCCGGCTTGTTCATCCTAGATTAACACAAGGTATGACAGAAGGGTTGTGCAATTCTGCGTAGGAATCCAGGGCGGCCAGAGGAATGACTGCAGCTGGACCCTGAGACACTGACAGAAGTGTTTGATTTAACCCGTATTCGTCTGCTTGCACTCATGCACTGGTCTCTGCTTCATTTCTCTCTCTGTCTCTCTCTCTCTGCCCAGATAAACCCCCGCAGCATGGAAATGCATAATTTTTCTCTTTTTTTTTTTTTTTTTTACATAGAAGCCTCTCATCTCAAAACAGTGGCTCACAGTTGCTGAATGTGGCTGCACCCACAAGCTCTTCAAGTGTATGTGCATGCATGTTCTGAGATACAATGTCAGTGAGCCACCCACTTTGTTCTTTGTTACAATGCTGGAACAACTCTCTTTACTTTTACAGTAGCTTCACTCTCACTTCACAAATTCTGCAGAGAAGAAGAATGGATGGGAACGTGGTTCTCAGCCGTGGAAATTTTACAGTGTAGCACGGAATGAGCTGGATCCTCATTTAGCACGGTGCGTGTCTGTCCGATGCCGCTGAACATCTGCATTTGGCCATGGCTACGACCCAAAATAAGGATTCTGCTAAGCCTAAACCGCAGCTGTGCGCGATTTGAAAATAATAATCCCTAAAGGTTCCCTCTTGTGCTCATTCCGTGATTCTCTGGTTGTGACAAAGACCAGCACTACAGAATATCCATCGAGGCTCATCAAGTCTCTAGACACACCAAAACACTGCCTGTTAAACTCTGTGTGCCACTGGAACAGGATTCCTCTTCAAAGAAAGGTCAACTTGGACGGGTAGTCTCCACGATTCCCTCGTCCGTGTTACTCAAAAATTGTAGGAAAACTGCCCAGAGGTCAATATCTGTTTTGTTTCCAAGTACAGCTTCATCTTGCTGTTTGCAATCAACAACAACAACAAAAAAAACTCAGATGAGAGTCAGTTGACTCCAATTTTACATTCAGCCAGTGGCCAATTTCCCCCCGCTGTTACATAGCAACGCAGCTTTCCCGCCCTCCCTGATATCAGCCAGAATCATTTAGTGCTGTCACAGCCAATCCCTTTAGGTAACTTCCAACAAGAAAAAGTAAGTCGTACAAGAGAAATCAGGATTTAGAGGCGGAGGAGAAAAACATTCAGTGAGAGGATACATTGTGTGAAAAGGCAGTTGGGCAAAAGATAGAAGAAAAAAAGAGGTAAAGACGATACCAGAGAATAATAAAGAAAGACTTTTGTGGAAAATGAGGAACAATGAGAGCAATGTTTGCAGGAGGGGATAAAAGAGAAAGCTGCGGAACAATGATGAAACCAAACATCTTTGTTGAAGTGAACGGCTTTAGACCAAACCCTGGAACAAGGCAAACAAAGCGCACAGCATTCAACGACCGCACGAGCGATCACGTCAAAAAACATCAGAGGTTTTTGGCATTTGTTCGTTTCAGAATTCCCAAAGAAGTGTCGATATACTTGTTGCTCAACAATTGCTGTAAGAGAAAAGGTGGGTTGCTCGCAGCTGCGAGGCTTACTCAATGCGCCGCTAATGAAAGCGTTCTCGCTAATCACTGAACACTTTCCATGACTCTTTGTAATGCGACACATTTAGTCTGTTCACGGTTGTTCAGGTGAGGAGCGATAAAACATCCCGCATTTTATGAAACACCAAAGGAAAAACACTTAGATGCTCATTCCAGCTCATCTCAGATAAGACTGCGCAAAATATGCTTCCGGACCTCGTAAAAGTATTCCTGCTGCTACTTCGACCTTTTCGTGTTGTGTCATGTTATACCCACAAACAAAGTTTTTTTTTTTTTTTTTTTATTATTATTTACGTTTGTTTTATGTGAGAAAAAAAACACACAAAGTGATGGATAATTGTTAAGGGAAAGGAAAAGGACACATTGTTTCAAAAATGTATTTACCACATTTTCTCTGCTACCCCTAAATAAAGTCCAGTTTAACTCATTGCCTTTAGAAGTTGTATCAATTGTAAAAGTATAATTGTGTTCATGGCTCTGTAGTTTAAGGTCATATGCATTTAGCTGTTCTATAAAAGACTTAGAGGTTGGTGTAAGAGAAAGTTAGAGAGCAAACAACAAATAAAATAAAATAAAATAAAGTTATTGACAAATAAAACCAGGCTCAACAAAATCTTCATGTAAACATGGTAGTGGGACCATCAAGCTGTGCTTGTGTCATTTTATGTAGGAACAGAGAAGCTGGTTAGAACTGGTTAGAACTGATGACAAGATAGACAGTGCCAAATAGAGGACAAACATTGTAAAGGCCACCAAAGACTTGAGACCGAGATGGAAGTTCACATTCAAGCAAGACAGCGAAGCTAAATGTTCAGTCAGACCTACAGCAGATGAGTCCAGATCCAAGGATATTCATGGGTTAAGGTCCAGTCGAACTTCTGATCTAAAACAAGCTGAAAATCCACAACAGTTTCCTGAAAACAACCTGCCTAACTGGACTGAGGAACCTGCCCTTCTGTTGCTGAGGAACGGGCAAAACGTTTTAAGATATTTCGCAAAGGACATTTGCCAAAGGAATGTATAATCCTTCAAACCCGGTGAAGACATACCCCAAAAGACTCGCGGCTGTAAAACATATCCTGTCAGCAGCAACAGTAAAACCCAAGGGGACCCTTGAGTGGGTTAAACAAACAATGCCACTTCCACTGACCTTAGCTTAACCCGCCAACCTCATTCAAAACAGTAAATCTGCTGCCCTCATCAGACAAAGTGAAATAAATATGTCCTGTTGTGATAAATTCAGGATGTGCATGCGCCCGCGAAGCAGCTCACAGCGGCTACACATTTCCATACTCCTCCCGGAGGCTTGCAGGAAGTGTTAGCGGCTTGTTTGTGTGTGAGGTCATGAAGGCTTCAGCTTGGAGAGGAAGGATCTTGGCTTGAGTTGGAGACGGCATTGGCGTCACTGGTTTGGATCGCTCACTCGGTGAAGTCAGACAGCTGAGTGAAGGATTGTGGCAGCCCCGTCACCGGACAGGGTGACTCACTCGCTCAGAAGCAGAGAGGTTAATAATAGTCGTGTATTATGGCTCTTGAAGTGAAATCACACAACATTAGCCGCTCTGCAGACGGCCAACAGCAAAGAAAAGCTGCGTTGGATTGTCTTTTTCTTTGTTTCCTTCGCGAGATGAGTCTGTAAGGATTAGATCCGATAGTGGGACTGGGTGTTGAACTTTTAAACACGTCACTAGCAAGCTGAGGGATCTTAAAAGTACAAGAAAAGATCAACAGTAGTCACTAAAGCGCTGCAGATACTTTGTGGCATTACAATCTCTGCAACTGTAATTACAGAATCTTTAATGGTTACAATGTAATATTCTGCAGTCACAGCTTTTAACCATGTATCTTAAATGCTGCTTTAGACTATTATAGCACCAAACTTCAGTCACGGTTCAATAAATAATTTAAGCATTTAAAAATGCAGTCACTGCCTTTAACATATGTGTGGCAAAGATTTCCCACCTTATGGATATCTTCAGCTGAAGTTTTTTTTTTTTTTTTTAGCATATTTCCATGTCCTTTCCCCCCCAGAATTTTTAAAATTAGAAATGGATTTTTCTGACTTTTAATGTGTTTGTGTAAATTGATTTAGCCCCTGATTCAAACAGCAGTAAAACTTCTGGGTTTGGATTTGGCAAAAGGGTGATTTCAAACAGAATGCATCTACATTTCATCAATCTTAGATCTGGCAGCACACTTTTGATTAAGAAAAAAAAAAGGACTTCATTCTCTGGTCTACCAAAGAAATGCAGCGCTATGCTGTGAGAGGAAGAGTGGCCTGATGTTAACCACATGTTCTCCCCAGCTTTTATGGCAGTGTTTCCAGTTTATGCTGATGTTTCTGCAAACCTTGGCGGCCTGGAAGTAATCTTTTTGGATTATTTTGTCACCACATAGATGCTCAATCTGCAAATATGTGGTGGAAAAGTACAAATACACATTAAGGGATTCGGTTTTAGCAGAGGCGTTGGGAGTGCAGACAATGAATTCTGTGTTCGGTTAAATTGGGCCATTGATAAAAAAAAGCATGAATG